AGACAAAACCTGATAAGGAAAGCTTAGGGGCAGGAGGCCCCGATTGACTGTATAACGAACTTCCTGTCTAGACAGAAAGCCACGTGATTTCAATTCAAAAATTTGATTCATTAGAAGGTAAATTACTTGAAAGAAGTGCTGTTGAAGATGATGAAACTCCAAGTTTCTGTATTGTTTACAATTAATTACAAAATTAAGATTGTCAGGTGACCTGAGAGATGCGAGATGAGGCACGGACCAATCGCAAATGTGGAACCTTGGCTCCTCTCATCTCGCTTGGCACAATTTATATCGTTATTGTATGAAGGTTTTTACATAATATGTTAAATTTTGAGGCCTCTCTTTGTCTGGGAAATGAGCCAAATGTCCCCTGTGGAACCCCTTTATCTGGATCTTACTGGCAAGAAAAATACTCTTCTTATTCGTATTCTTGTTAACTTTTTTTGAAATAATTGAATTACTTTATATAAAATTTAATGATCTCGAAGGTTTGTATTATTATTATAGAGCCCACTGTGAATAAAATTGAACACTGGTGCCGCTTACTCGCTACCAACTACACCAACGGGCTGGTCACGTGGATATTTTTGGTGTTTCTTCACGTGTCTAACATCTGAATGGTACCAGGATCCTATAAAAAGTCCTTCCAGGAGAACGTGATTTTAATTCAAAAATCTTTCCTAGAACAGACTTAGATGACTGGCATGACTTCCTCCTCTTGTCTTCCCCTCCTTTCTATTGTTCCTTTCTTCTCTCATCATCATCATCATCATCATCATCATCATCATCATCATCATTATTTCTTGGGAAAAGTATGATAAACAGGGGCAAGACACTACTAAAATCCAGAGCTTACATACTATACAGTATATCACAGGGTGGTCCAAAAGTTAGTTAAACGAGATTGAAGTATTTGAATTTACGGTACTAACGTGCCGGTCTATTGGAAACTGTTTTTTAACCGTTCTTAAAACTAGACCGCTGGTTAACTGGCTTTTAGACCACCACTGTACGAATTATAAATAAACCTGTAAACAACTGACACTAACGGGAAAAATGGCCGTTATTCGGAGGTTATTTTGTACGCATAATTGTACAGAAAATGGTCGCTTGCTAGAGGTTCGCATATTGTATAGAGGAACGAGCCAACATAAATAAAATGTCACTTGTATACGAAAGCCAAATGAACTTTATTTTAATTTTATAAATCTCGAGTACCCACTCGAAACCTCTTAACAAAAATAGAAAGTTTAGCGAAGTTTCAAACAAAATTTATGTCGATCGTTAGTGAATTATAACATGTACCGAGATTGAAGTTAACTTCGAACTTCCATCAAGAGGATTGAGGGTCGCCATTTTCTAATTTTACACCTTTTACCCACTCGAAAGAATGGGTAAGTAAGTATCTCTTCCATTATTTCCCTAGCGTGTGTGTGTGACAGGGAAGAGAAGAAAAGAGGAAAAAAAAAAATTTGCGGGTTAAACAAATTACGAAAACTAAATTTAATGGGCATCCCCCCCTTCTAACTAAGCTTTAAAGTGTACTTTAGAGTAAATTCCACGTCTGGATTTAAGAAATTAATTTTTGTTGTAACGGTAACAATAATTTACGAGGGGAAATAAATTTTCATAATTTGGGTATTAGAGAGATTAGTTTTGCTATTCTCCAAAGAATTCTACCATTTTAGTAGTAATTGCATCAATTCCCATTTTAATTTCACTATTGTAGCGAGTGAAGAAATGGATGAGCTTAAATACAAATGTATTTAAAAATCTGTAAACATTACTAAACAATAATATTACACATCCTTCCATCTTCCTCCTCCTCCTCCTCATCTTCTTTTCTATACAATTGACAGGCTTTAAATCGAATTTTCAGAAATTTTATTCAGTTTAATTGAAGCAAGATAATGTAACCTTATTGTTGGAGACGACAGTAGAATTACAAACAAACCCCTAGAAAGGTGGACAGTAGAGGGGTGGGAAATAGTATTGGCTCTACAGATAAGCCACACAGGATATGTCGGGGTGTGTAGTAAATCATTGGATACGTGATTCGATTTAATTACATTATCATTTCTTGTGTGTTGCGGGATGAAGAAATAGAGCAATAAAACACGCGTGACATTCGCTCTTCGGCATACGTAAATTTGAAAAAAAAAACAAAAATATTTTAATTTATGTAGATTGTTTTTGTTATTGTTATACCACACACGTCACAATAAAAACAACACTAAAAATTGAGGATTTTTATCAAGTGTTACGTCTTCTAAAAGATAGTTAACAAAGAAAATTCTGGTTTTCTTGCATGTCTTGTTTATTTAAATTATTTGTAGGATATAATCAATTAATGCTAATTTTAGGAGCCATATAAATTCTTTCGTAAGGGCCAAGCATCGCAACGCAACGCCGGCCTTACTCATGCTAAAGACTTACTGTATTTGTATGTTTAATATTCTCAGAATAGATTTTTATTCTCTACAGAAAAAAAAATCCCTATCGAATATCAATCTCTTTCCCACTTCATTTTAATTTTCTTCCCTCAAAAATTCGTGTAATACATGAAAAATTACCATAAAAAATGGCGTGTATTACAAGAATTTTGATTAAAAAAATTATCAGCATTTTATAACTTTTTTTTTGGTCTGTCAAGATTTTTCCGTATTAATTAATTAATTAATTTCCGAGAATAATTCATTCTAAAAAATTATTTCCCCCCTTTTTTTAACATATAAAAAAACAAAATTGCATTTATTCCAATTTAGGAGGATGTAGACATTTCATTAAAGTTTTATGTACTCGTGTATATATATTTTTTTTATATATAAAAATATAGAAATAAAGGAGAGAGAGAGATGAAGTTTTACCTCCCTTCCATCTCGTCTTAATTTAAACTAAACATATTTTATTCTATAAATATTTATATTTTATCAGCAAGATATATCTGTTTCAATTTCTTAGCGAAATAATTGAATTTAATAAAATTTATATGTTTAAGTTGAACAATTTTTAATAAATAATAAATTCATCAGTATTTCAAGATAAAAATCAATTAAAAATTCGTTGCTATAAGCTTAAAATTTAGATTTATATAAGCGTTATTAAGCTTGTAAAAATAATATTCGTTAGATGACTTAAAATTTTAAATATTTGATTTTCTCAACGTTGATTGGTTATAAATTCGATTATCCCAACAGCGATTGGTTGGAAGTTTGCCTATCTTTACGTTGATTGGTTCGTGAAGTGATTTAGAAACAACAACTTAATTAGTCTGGAAAATTTATGTAACACGGGTTGACGATAAAATAAATAAAATTCTTAATTGGTCTTTAATTGATGAGGCTAATCATTGGATTGGATTGGATTAACGAGATAAGGCATTGCAACACACGGGCGATGTGCCAAGGCAGTATCTCTCGAAGAATGTTTATGAAAAACTGTCATCTTCTTAAGTGTTAAACACGTGAAGAAAACCCGAAAAACTCCACGTGGACAGCCTGTCGGTCAGTATTTTTAGTAGTTTTAGGATGCGACTATGCGGACGCGAGAGAGCGAGAATAGGTGGCGGCTTTTCTCGCTAAGTACAGCACGACTACACCGTTGCGAACGAACGGGAGAAAGTGGCATGGAAATGACGACTCGCATGTTCGCGTTGAATTCTTCATACGGAAGGGTGAATTATTGTACTATATGGAAGTAAAAATCAAAATGGTTCGACTACGATGCTTACTACTAACGAAGAAAGATTTTTTTTTATTAGGAACACATTCATAAGGTATTTATAATGAACACACAGAAAGAAAACGAAAATACGGCGTTCCTCCTCTCTCTGGAAACAGCGAAAATATAAAGAACTTTTATTATAATTTGCTAATAAATCTTTTCATATATATAGTAGATGAAAGATATGAGAAGCCATCTTCTACTCGTGCGCAGTATTCAGCGAGAAGAGGCGGGATGCGATAAATATCAAACCCTCGCAGAAATTTGCTCTCGCCAGCGAGATTTCTCGCCTCTCGCTTGCTATTAGATTCGTATCTTCATAGTCGCATTCTAATCCACTCTGCCACTAGTGAATGAAACTAACCATGGTTTTATGGTCATAATTAGCACATAGATCCCACGTCATTGCTGTTTACTACAGAAGCTATAACCGTACATTGAGACAATTGGGACACGTGCCCACTTTTTCATCTGGTTGTATTTTTCGTAATCCCCGAGGGACCACAAATTTTATCATCACCAAGCAACAGAAAATTTGCGACTACTATCCAGCCTATTCTGCAAATATGTTGAATCATAGATTGAAGTTCCTTGCATAATCCACGACGCCATTTTATTATATCCTGTCCCCCTTCTTTTCTACAATATGTTGGCTAAAACTTTATATACCTTTTAAAGTTTCATTTGTACGCTTCTTTGAGAATGAATTTAGTGCTTAAATCGCCCTCTTATAGTAAAAACGCACGCATTTTACTATTTTACATAAATCAAGCCATAAAATCTATAAGCTTTTATACCCTATTTTCTTCTTCCTAACACCAAAAATATATGGAAATTCTCTTCTACAGTGTAAAATACTTTATCTGAATCGTGATAAAATACAGATTTCCTAAATTTAAGCCATGCTCTTTTTATAAAATTACAGTCCATCTCGGAAATGAATACTTCCCTCTTCGTTCGATGCTAACGTAATGGATTTACACACCCCTCCTACGTTTATCAAAAGATTAAATTTAATTAAATGAATATCTGTTTAGCCTAGAAAATAAAAAAAAATTAAAGTGTCTAGACTTTATATACTTGTTGCTCTTTATTTTTATTTTTTTTCCTCCCTGTTTAAAGAATTTCAAGATGGCTGCCCGAACGTACAGTACCTGCGACTTGATATATAGATTACTATACTACTAAATAATTGATTAGAGATCCGAAAACTTAGAATTATCTGTCCCTTTGGTGTAATTACGTTGAAATATTTAAAATTCTTTATTATTTTCTAGCGTTATTAGATTATTCGCTTCACACAAGGATGATAAAAAACGTGTAGAGAAGGCTTTAGAGGCATGCAATCTACCAATCGGAAAGGTAAGTTTAATTTTAATTACTCCTAGATTAATGGTAATTTAAAGGTTAGTTAATAATGGTAAGGCATGAATATTAAAATGGAGGTTAAGTATCCGGAACTCGCTAATCAGCGTTTATCTGATTAGTTAATGGTTGTTTGATTAGTGTAATCCGTTAATTGGGCATTACGTGTGCGATATGTTGTGAAATTTTCATGAAAAATTCTTTGAATCTTTCAGAATGACGTGATATCTCCTGAAAAATTCACTTTCGATTCGTTTATGAATATCTACGCTCATCTAGTGGGTAGGGAGGAGATCGATGCTATATTTGAATCCACGTAAGTTAAACTTTTAATTATTTAATTAATTTTAAAATACAACAGTGTACAATTCCCTGGCTTTATATACCAGATATATATAGAATTTTCTATCTTGATTATATGAAATGCAGTATTTAGTATCATATTATGTAATTAAAAAACATTTTCAGGGGCGTAATCTCAACTTATAACACTGAACGCGTGGAAATAAGCTGTGGTGGCGCTGCTTGCATACGTCCCGGCCCGACAGTAGCGCCACCTGTTTACGTTCCTTCCCAGTAGCGCCACCTGTTCTAAATTTACATAAACATTTTCACTTAACGTATAAAAATGAGTCAGAATTTCTAATAATGTAAAACAATTACACCTATTCTTAACCTCATTCATTAATCTTGGCAAATTATTCCTTGCTCGCTGTAATATCGAACATTTTAAATCACAATTCCACACGAATATGGCAGGATAATTACATTTAAAGTAAAAATCTTTCGAAAACGTTTTATAAATTCTTCTGTAAAATAAATTCATCCAAATGTTTACAGTAACAATTGTAAAAGGTAGAATGACTTAATCCCGGTATATAAGCATTTGTTCTATTGATTAATACTAGAGAAAATGTTGGAGAGTTTTATCTTATCTAAACAGCTATGAAATTTATTGATTTATTTTAATGTATTCGTTGGCAGTAAATCCCTTATCCCGTCGTTGACGTCTCTATGCTATATACCTAAATTAAATTTTGAATAAATAGTCGTATATATAAATGGTAATATTTCTTTACAGTTGATTTTGAATTCTACTCCAGTTGTATTGGTTAAAGTATTTTATAAAAATTAAACAAGAAAACAGATCGCACACCCAATGTTTTTTTTCCTGCGTAAATTTTCTTTAATATAAAGGTGATGGCCATAATTTATTACTTGTTTCAATTTCGTAAAACAGGTGAAATATCCTTTAAATTGTCGAATAATAAAACAACTTCATGATATTAGAATTATTAAAGAAAATTTTTACGTTTCTTCTCTGTTCGCCCGTGTTTTAATTGGGAAGTTTCTTGTATGTTCCTGTGTTTTTTTTTTATTACTAATGCTTGTTTATATTTTAGTTATGTTTTTATGCATCTAAAATGCCAAATATTCTGGAATATTTATTACTAAATTTCACATTTTAAAAAGTTTTTTTTTCTTTCAAGTTTAATTAAGTCTGTAAAAAGGAAAGTCGCATAAAATTTTTAAATTACTTTTTTTTAAATTCTAATGATTCATAATTAAAATTTATATTTTTATCTTGTAAATTAATATCTTGTAATGACATATATCCCGTTAATTTAACACGTAATGATTACCAGAAAAGTTCGTGATATACAGTCGACTCCCTATAACACTGTTGATTTTTCCGTTTTATATGAATTCCATGTTGTACGAGTCACTCAGATTTTACAAATACGTGTGCTGGGCTGTGAACTGCTCACGTACTTGTAAAATCTAAGGGACTCGTACAACATGGAATTCATATAAAACGGAAAAATCAAGTGTTATGGGGGGTCGACTGTATATATATATTTTGATCGTAAGCGTGCAATTTCTCAAAACAACACTATGATATACAAATATATCTATTTTAGATCGAAATTACAAATAAAAATTTGTCATCAACTGTTGCTGCTCGCAACTATTGTTCTGTTTAATGTACAGACACAAGCACAATGTACAAACAGAACAACAGTTGCGACTAGTGTATAGCAAATAGCTGCAAACACAGGCTTGTGCTCGCAACTGTCTGCTCTGTTCGTAATTATTTTCGTCTGTCTGCTGTATATATATTAGCACACAACACAACACTAATAAAATAACAATAGTCTGTAAATGATGATAAACATTTGTAAGAGGGGGAAAAAATATATAGAGATAATTGTGTAATTTATGTCGAAAGACATATCAAAGATAGTAGTAGTACGTTAACGATATACAGAATCATCTACACTTCATAGAAAAATTTAAATTGCAAATTTAGGCGGAAACAATTTAATTTTGCCATTAAATGATAAGTTGCAACTAAAACTTTGCATTCTATTAAGCTAATTGTTTCGTACTGACTCCATTGTGATGTTAATCGTCAATTGTCTCATAGAAATGCGCGTATTGTTTCGCGCCATTAAGTAAACAGTGTTTATTTTTTCCCTCCCCGTCCTCCTCCTTAAATAAATAGAGTTTTAACATAGTTTTTCTAATGAAAGAAGAGTTAATTTACTTCATTCAATGTTTTTTAATTCGATGAAAATTTCGACTCCAATACTTTTCAATAGCATCTTATCCGATTTAATAACTTCCCTGCTTTCTATTGTCGATGTCCTCACTGTTATACAAATAATAAAGCAGAAAAAAAAAGAGGGGGGACAGACTTCAATACCGTAACTGATAATGAGAAGGGAGGGAAGAAATAAAGAAAAGATACCATTCAGTAACAACACAATACAAAATAATTATTATCTTTTTTTTTACATCATCACCACCATTTTTAAGATAGAAATGCTCGAGCTTTATCAAATTTTTCTATTAAAACAGATGCGGAGGGAACAAGAAAAAGGGGATGACGGTGGACCAATTAGTAGAATTCCTCAACAAAGAACAAAGAGATCCTCGTCTAAATGAGATTCTGTATCCTTATGCCAATCCAGCTCGTGCTCGTGATATTATTAATGAATACGAACCTAATAAGAGTTACGCCCAGAAAGGTAATGTAGTCTTCCGGTTTAATAATGAATTTATGAATACAATTATTAAATTAATTTTCAATAAATTGAGCTTAATATGAAGAAGAGGTAAGAGGTTTGTAGTTTTCTCCAACAGAGGAAAAGTTTTTTTTTTTTACCAAATAGTGACTAGTTCTTGCTCGACTGTGCCCCATTCACTATCCCTCCAATTCATGGCTTATTCTAGTATTATTTTCTGCAACTGGAGCATAAAATTACACTTCTCTTAGTCTCCATTTTTAACATCGAAATTTCTGTAAAATTACTGAATTAACTTTCAGGTATAATGAGTATCGACGGTTTTCTGAGGTACCTGATGAGTGATGACAACCCCATTGTGGCACCCGAAAAATTCGATTTGAATTTAGACATGGACCAACCTTTAAGTCATTATTTTATTAACTCTTCACACAACACTTATTTAACAGGTAAAATGTTACAATTATTCTCTATAAGATAGCCACTTACTACACTAGAAATATGGCATGAGATTCTCTTAGTCTTCCTGTTCTTTTGAAGAATAAACACTTCTATTAATTAGTATACAAAATTTAGTTCCTTATAAAATGAATTTTTGGAATTTATAAAAGGTCATCAACTAACGGGAAAATCTTCAGTGGAAATCTATCGCCAGTGCTTACTAGCAGGATGCCGTTGTGTTGAATTAGACTGTTGGAATGGTCGAAATTCGGACGAGGAACCAATTATAACTCACGGATTTACGGTTGTAACCGAAATTTTACTTAAGGTAATTTACTTGAACTATATCTTCTTCTATAATTTGTAAAATTTTACGTATCTCAATTAATTTAAAAAACGATCCATGCAACTGTAGGAAGTGTTAGAAGCCATTGCGGATTGTGCATTTAAAACGTCGGACTATCCCGTGATTCTATCATTTGAAAACCATTGTTCGTAAGTTAATCTCGGAATCATTTTTATAGAGTTTAATTGCCAAATTTCCTAAATATACGGACCATTTTTTATTGTGGAAAACCGAAACTTATATTCCGTACTTCTATAGTCAATGATAGATTTGTTTAGTTGTTTGGTTCTTCCTGCTCTGCGGGCAATAAAAGAGTTGCAGACTGACACCTTAACTGCCTCATCTTTCTGGGTACTGTTACTATTCGGCAAGTAAATTGGTTCTGCAAGTTGCAGCACGTAGCACTTCGTGGCAATAGACATTCTGGGCGCTTTCTCTTCGTCCGGTGATTCAAAATTTGATGCAAATGCGGCGCATTAATGTATTTTGAAACACTTAAAAAACACACACACACAGTCGAACCTCCAATAAAGGCCACCTTTAAGCAGCGACCATTCTTTTGAGTATACAAAATATACTACGAACAATGGCCATTTTGTGTTTCTGTGCCAGTGACTGTGTTTACACTGTTGAAGTGCGGAACGAGTGTTTCTGTTTCCTACACCTAAGAAAATCTTATAAGCACGATGACAGAGTAAAATAATTAATTTGTCTGTAATTCTAGAACAAAGCAGCAAGCAAAAATAGCTACTTACTGTAGAAAAATATTCGGAGACATGCTCTTACTCGAACCATTATCGACTAATCAAGTAAATACAATAACATTTCCTTAAATTTGGTTATTAATTTTCGTTGGTTAAAAAAAATTAATTATTATTAATTCCAGTTAAAACCTGGTCAACCTTTACCCTCTCCTAATCAATTATTAAGAAAAATCATCATAAAAAATAAGAAACAGCATTCTGGTGAGTATCGGAGGAAAAACAAAAGTAATTTACGGTGTTACGAATATTAATTTTTCTCCGTCTGTCTGTCTGTCAGCGAGAAGATTATACGCAGATGAAGAAAGTGAATTGTCACTGACTCCCGAAAAAACCATGCTTTCGGCTGGTGGCGACGAAAACCAAACAACAAACGGGGTTAACGAACAGAGTAACGAAATGCAGATACAAGGGAAGAGTACAAATATAGTCTGCGATATAGATGAGTCGGATAGCGAGATCTCTTCTGATGACGACGATGTGCAAGATAAATACGAAGAGGTTAGAATGTTAATATTTAATACGATAATGTCTTATATAATAATAATAAAAAATCGTTTGTTTCCCTGTAGGGAGCAGTAGAGAAGGGTTCTGCTGAAATGTCTGCACTAGTCAACTACATCCAACCTGTACGATTCCACAGTTTCGAGCATGCAGAAAGTACGTTTCTTTTATTGAACAGATGATTTAACTTCGTAAACACGGTTAAATATTCTAATCTCCTCTTTAATCATTTAGAAAGAAACAGAAGTTACGAAATATCTTCCTTTGTAGAAACTCAGGCGACTAATTTACTTAAGGAACATCCTGTCGAATTTGTAAAGTATCCTTTGATGTAGAATTTAATCATTCAAGTGTTACATTGTCTCACTCCATCAATTATCCTCCATATTTAACACCCATTCGTTATAAGAGGTCTTATTCACTAGTCTTAGGCAAGACGTTGTAACCCGAAATAATGTCAGACTTACTTTTAATAGCAAATTGAGGAGGAAGATGGTTTGTGGCACTAAGTGACTATGATAGTACTACAAACCATCTTCCTCCTCATTGAAGGCGAATCACAGGAAATCTGTTCCAATCGTTAACAATGGTTTATTTTATTATATAATTTTACATTTTCTTTGGAGACTATAATGTCTTTAACATGCTAGTTATAACAAACGTCAGTTAAGCAGGATATATCCTAAAGGAACTCGAGTAGACTCCAGCAATTACATGCCCCAGGTAGCATTTTATAAACTAAATTAACAATTTATAAGACGATTCATACGTTTATCTCTACAGGTATTCTGGAATGCCGGATGCCAATTGGTGGCATTAAACTACCAAACATTAGGTAAGTTATCCAGATATGTTTTTATTTAATATAAACTTTTAACTACAGATCGCTAAGAAACTTAAACGCTTTTATTAGACTTAGCCATGCAATTAAATTTGGGCATATTCGAATACAATGGAAGAAGTGGGTTCCTCTTGAAACCGGATTTCATGAGGCGAACGGATAGGAAATTCGACCCTTTCACGGAATCTACAGTGGATGGGATTATTGCTGGGACAGTATCAGTTAAAGTAAGTTTTTACGCTTCTTTTTTAAATTGTTTCCTGGTCATCCGAATTTTGCTATCCGTTCTTCACAAGTTACAAGTGTGGTAATGTTAAATTATGCCAAAAGCAACTACCTTTAAAATTTTCAGATAATATCTGGTCAGTTTCTATCCGATAAGAGGGTTGGAACCTACGTGGAAGTTGATATGTATGGTTTACCAGCTGATACTGTTCGCAGGAGGTTCCGAACCAAAACCGTTCCAGCGAATGGTTTAAACCCCGTATACGACGAGGAACCGTTTGTTTTCAAAAAGGTAAGATTTCCGAAATCTACGCAGCAAAAATTCTTGAAAAATATCGTGTTTTTCTACAGGTTGTGTTGCCTGATCTTGCATGCATCCGGATCGCAGTTTATGAAGACAATGGCAGATTCCTAGGACACAGGGTGTTGCCCGTATGCGGATTACGTCCAGGTATTTACTCCGATCATTGTATCAATTATGCAGCATTTTTTGACTATATGACATCTTTAGGTTATAGGCATGTCTCTTTAAGAAACGAATCGGGACAGCCATTGACGTTACCAACGTTATTCGTTTACGTTGTGGTGAAGGATTACATTCCAGATGGATTATCGGGTAGGTTCTGTTCTTAATTACAAACACAGACTTTCTAGCCGAATCAATGGTTGTTGTTTTATGCAAAAACAGAGCTAGCAGATGCATTAGCTAATCCTATAGCGTATCAGTCGATGGTAGAAAAGCACGCTCAACAGCTGATGGCATTAACGGATGACGTTGACGAAGTAAGTGAAATAACAAATCCCGAACTTTATTTTGTATACAATTAAACTCAAATAATATTGAAAATTTCAGTCTACAGAAATCAGCAAACCTACAAAAGCGCCAACAAAATCGGATTCGAATAAAAATACCGAAGACAAAACTAGATCGAGCTCCTTCAAGGATGATAACGCAGAGACGGAACCATCGAAGTACAATGCAATCAATGGAAACATACAGACAAATATGCCAATAGCCGGAAGCACTTCTCCCGTATTTTTGCCACCTCTGAAAAGGCAGGAAACAGCAGGAAGTAAGAATTAGCAATTTTAATTTTACTCGAATTTTTACTTAATTATCCACAAATTTGCATCATTCCTTCCTTCCTCTTCTCTCCAGAGAACATGACACAGTCAGTAAGGAGTTTACCCGAGGACAATATTCAGGGCAAGACGTTATCTTTACTGGGTAATGCTCTTTATTATACTTTCCTCACGTCGTTAAAAACTGATTTATGTTGTAAGACAATGTAATCGGATTAAATCTTTTCTGTTTCAGAATCTCCGGAAGCTGACATTATGGCCGAGAGCATCGATAAAATTAAAGAACACAAACTAGTGCAAAAGGTCATGGCCAAATTAGAGAACGATCTACAGATGCTGAGGAAAAAACACGAAAAGGTATTATTAAAACTGATTAAACGTGTGGATAAAATAAACACGGATAAATTAATTGGGGTTCGTTAAACAGTTAAGAGAAAAAGAAAAGCAATTGTATCGAATTAAGGAGGACAAACTCTCCAAACCGTACGAACAACAGAAATCTTTTATAAGTCGCCATTTTAGGTAGTAAATTTTGTCTTTTTTTCTTTTGCTTTAAGTTTGCATCCTTTTCTTACAATTTGACCTCCTGTTTCCTCAGCCGAATCCTGAAGCACAAGAACAAGAGGGAACTCGAAGAGAATGCAATGGAAGATCAACAGAAAAAGGTGATCACCAAACTGAATATGCTACTTTATCGAGCCACATCGTTGTCGGATTAAGGAAATTATTAAGGGCCCTGTTGCATAAAAATTACCTGTAACAACTACAAGCGTTTTATGCAACAGAACCCAGGACACAGAAATTGAATAGGATTATCACATTTACGAATAAACGAACGAAATTTTAAGGGCATTTGTTAGATATGAGTCTAGGCATTTACCTACAATAGATTTAAGTATGGGTCTACTATATTAAAATAATAAATTGAGTAGATGATCATCTTCGTTTCAGATGGAGGACCTACAAAAAGATTACAAACAAACGATGCTAGCAATAAACAAAGAACAATTCCGCATCGAAATGGAGTTGAGCAAAAAGTATAACGAAACAGTGAGTAAGAGGTTCGAGTTTTGCTTCGCGTTCAAGAGTTTGACACATTGTAATCCCCAAAACTTGAATTTTCCAGATATACACCGCTATCGATAAAGCTATGCAGACTTCACAGAAAGCGCAACTCGATTATCTGAAGGGTCTTCACGATAGGTAAGGCGTTACTTCTATTCGATTATCCTTGCTAAAAAGTAGGAATTTTATGTATTAAAACTCTCTTCACACTTTGCAGAGAAGTAGGGGAACTCATGAAGCGATTAGAGATACAAACGAAAGAAGAAATGAAAACATTAAGTAAGAAACACACGGATAAGAACGAATTATCCAGGTTTGTAATTGAGAAAATCAAGTGTTTCATTAGATTTAAACCGCTTCGGTCACTTCTTTACACGCTTTTTTTTTTAAATTAGAATAAAGAGGGAATTACATCAAAAATTGATCGAGCAAGCCGTAACGGAAAGACAAAGGGTATTTAAAAAAAACCTTTTTCCTATATTTTCGTTAAATTTCCACACATTATTAATTGTATTGTTTAAAAACACAGATTAATAGCATTTTAGATAAGAAAGTCAATGATTTGGAAAGACAGCATTTAGATATCCAGAAAAAAGTTGAAGAGGAAAAAGCACAAGTAAGAAATTAGAAAAAAAATGTATTTAAAATAATCTAGGGTGGCCCAAAAGTCAGGTACTTGCACGAACAGTTAACTGACTTTTGGACCAATCCCTGTATCTACACGGTTATTTAGAATAATTTATGTTCTTAGACCGATGTGAAGTTGCAACAGGAATTCGAAGAGAAGTGTAACAAAGCGGCAAAGGAATACGACACAAATTCTAGCGCGTTTCTTAACAGTATATCTTTTAACGAAGAGATCACATTATGAAAAACGCTATGGTAAGTAATGATATTGAAATCTGCAATTTACTACTAATAATAGCATCCAATTACTAGATGATAATTATTATTAGACGTTTAATTACGTGGTCATCAACTGTTTCATTAAGAATCATCATTACATCAATTGGTTCGCATTATAATAGGACACTTGTAATTATTAAATCATAATAGAAATTCTGATAAGCACACCCGTTCCTGAGGAATTAGTCATGGTTATTTTTGGAACCAAGTGCCATTAGTTATATAGTCCCATATAGAATAGATTGATTTTTTTTCTTCCTAACTTTTTAAATAGGATCTCTTAATGCCCATAGGATAATCATTCATTCTGCCAGGCCAACAGCAGACTTGCTGGCTTGTGAGGGATGGTGACACGCCCTGTAAATCGTTCGTAGATGATTTGCCCAAATTCGATTCTGGATGCTCCAGATTGGAGGATGGCGCCTTAACCAACTTTATGGCATATTCCATGTCTTGAATTAGGTGATATCCTGATTTGATCGCCCTGTATATCGTTATTAATGAATTTCCAAGTCTTCTTATGGTATTGTGATATGGAATAAATACAGGCTAAAGAAGCATATTGGCTAATAATTACTACTGAGCATGAACTTACCTTTATCAAATGCTTCTCTTGATTCCATTCCCACTCGTTTATAATGAAAGCATACAGTTTAATTGTTAGATTTGTATTTATCTAACATACCTTTTTATTGGTTAATTTGTTCAGCACTTACTGAAATATTTGAATACATTCTTTCTACGTTAGTAGTAAAACTGATTTAATGATATGATTATATATAAAGTATTATTAATTAAATTTTATAAGCAGTAACAGCAGGACTTTAGTGTTATTGGTACTAAAGAGTTGAATTCGTTTTGTCTGAATAATGCACATTATTGCGTCAATTTGACGTCATTCTTAACGCTTTTTCATAAGAAAACTGCCATTAGCGACTTCAATTGGATGTACAAGTGTATAATTTTCAAACAAAACGAATTGTAAAATGTATTCAGAATCGAAGAATTTAATTAAACAAAAAGTGTTACCAACTTAATTAAAGATGGTCATCAGAAAAGGAGCCGAATTCCCTTGAAAATTATTCTAATTTTCTCGAAATGGGACAATTTACTCCTTAGATAATGATACATATTTGCGTGCGCTGATTAGATTTCTATAAAATTTAAATTGTCTTTTTTTTTCCTTTCTCTTTACAGAAAAAAAGAACAAAAAAAAATTTTTACCCAGAGAGTCTGCAATGCAACAAAATTCATCAACAGAACACATTAAAGTCGCACTATTTATTTCTCGTTATTCTCTAATGACAATTTACGCTGCAAATAACTGTATATAATTAATTTTACTACCGATCGATTGTAATGTTTCTTTTGTTGTTACCGTTGTTGTTTCGGTTTCTGTGTTGTTTCTACTATAAAGTGAACAAAATACCCATTCACGGATTGATAACAATCAATGATATGCATAAAGCACTCGAAACGGGCCAGTATCTTTGTATTTGTTTGTGTGTATATGTACGAAGAAAACATACCTTTTTTTCTTTTTTTTTTTTGGCATTATACAATCGGCACCACCCGCACAACACGTTTCGTTTGACACTTGACACTTTGTTTCTTTTCTAATTAGCAAAAACTGCGCCACAAATGACGTTCCACTACTTAAATAAAACAAAAAAAAAAAAAAAAAAGAAGAAGAGAGACACATCATCACTTAATTGTTACTCGATAAATTATTATTTTTTAAAGAAAACAGATTTTAAAACACTTAAAAAGCTATATTTGATCTCAAATTTATCCATTTTACATACCAAAAAAAAACATTTAAATAAACTTTCAAATTTATATGTAGTAAAGTGTTACTTGTATATAAAAATAAATTATATTATTACATATATATATATATATA